TGGTCTTTCACCCAAATCCTGTAAAGGAAGATAAGTAGATCTCCTGCAAATTACAAAGTGAAATAGCCTTGTTCATCACCACCTGTCAGATAGCAAAAAGTAAACCAAAAACATTAAGTATTCAGGTTAATATAAAGCAGTAACTGTGTCTGGCTGGAAGTTCACCTTTCATTCACATTCAATTAAGACAACCTTCTTCACACAGATTCACGTCCACTAAATAGTCACCTTTTTTTGGAACAGTTCTGGACAACTTGAAATCAAGCACAGTCTGAAGGCATGAGCACTGTTAAACAGCCTAATGTTGGCCCCCTTCCAGATAAACAATCATGTGGGAGACAGGCTGGACTTTCCCACAGATTTCTGTGGGAGCTGGGGCAGGGCAGGAGGGTACGATAAGTCCTTTCACCCATCCCCTGTTAGCACCACCCGTCTCATGTTAAAAACAAGGCAAAGCCGCGCTGCTACTCTTCAGTGCACGTAAAGCTACATCTGGCTCTGCCATAGTATTTTTGTCAGAAGGCCAATACTGCAGTTTATGGCTTCATACAGTTGCTTCTCAGGTAATGGAATCATACTAAATTTAAAACCCCAGCACAGAAGAATAGGCAAAAAGGGACTAAAAATGGTTCTTTGCTGTGTTTGTATAAGTCTGACATAGAGGCTGCTTAGATCCCAAATGTAATTTTAATAAATCTCACCCACATCTCAACACCTCCCCTCCATCACTTCTGTAGCAGCCAGGGTTCTCCCCAACAAAGTATGGCCTTGTTACAGCAGCTCCCTTTTTCCTTTGTGCAGCCAGAACAGGATCCAGCTTCTACCGCAAACACTCTACAAAAGATGGGCTCGATGCCCTCTGATGGGAAAACATTGCCAAGTCCACCCCCTAATGATGCCTCTCAGGATGAAAGCTAAGCAGTCATGAAACACACTGGCTTTTAAAAGAGGCTAGGTGGGATGCACCACGTGCATCGTGGTAAGTTGTCTTTGAATGAACGTTTGTGTCAGCAAGATGAGTAAGGAATCTTTTAGTTTAGTTGTTACTAGTCTAGTCTGGGCCCAAAGCAAAAAAAAAAAAAAAAAAAAAAAAACCCTAAGCCTGATTATTTTCAAAATCCAAAGCCTCATATGAAAAAGCTTGCTAATTACCCCAATTCTTATAACAGGCCAAACCAGGACCTCAGATCCCAAATAACCCTCAAACTTGTGCTGGCTCAAATTCCAGATCCAATGTCTGTGGTACGGGCTAAAGGAAAACTAGAAGGGAGAAAAAAAAAAAATCATCCTTACTGCATGGATCTTTAATATAGGGCCACCTCTGATACACTTAAAAAATATATATAATGAGACCACTATAATACATATTCCAGCCAAAATTCTTGGCTCCCAAAAACAGCTTTATATGGTATGCAGTACAGAAACACCCAGGAGACACTATAAGAACTTTGACAAGGCTAATATTAAGCTAGAACAAAACAGAACTACTGGCACCAGATCCACTCAGCTCTTAAGTAAACTTGTCCCATTAAAAAGTAGCCTCTAAGATATTTTCTCTCTGAAGTGTATAGTAGCTTATAAAAAGCAGGAAGAGTTGCCAAGTCGTAGATGTGTTCAAGTACTCCTTACCCTCATTAAAGAACATTCCCTGGCAGCTAGCAGCTTTGCGTGTTCCAGTGAACCAGATTTTATAAGGGGGGTGTTTACAGTGGTGTGCAATGTAGCTGGAAATCATGGTGCACCGTTAGCAGCCACGTACTAGATACAGCTGTGCTTGGAGCCTTATCATCCAGGGCACAGAATACAACAGACAGGATGATCAACGAGGTTCAAAGAAATAATGCGTGTTAAGAAAACAAAACAAGTCTCTCTTCCCCACAGGAAGAAAGGCAACAAAAGATGTCAGTGCCTAAATAGGAATTAGGTAGTGAAATATCACTGAAGACTTAAACCTCACATCCACTGATTTCACATATAACAGATGGTATTTACAGACACGTCTTCATAATAAGCATGTACGTAATTCAGCTTCTTAAGGTACCCCCTTATCTCCATAGGAGTTTGGTGTTAAATTCTTTGGAGGATCTGGGCCTTAATCTCCCCTTATTAATTTAAAGGCTACTTTCTCTTCTCAGTTCAGTGTCTCAGCTGAGTATCATCAGACTAGGTAAGTAATTCAGCCTTCGAAAATGAATCACCTAGATGATCTAATATAGATGGTCTTTTCATCTTTAGCATCTATGAAGAATTGGGAAAGAGAACATCCACAATGTCTCTCTTGCATTGAGGACCTAAGAATGTATGTTCTCTCAAGTTTCTCACTGCTACCAACCAGGCACTGTTTTCCAAAGACTTCTCAGTTTCAGCTGAAGAAGGATCTCAGTTAACGTGGAATTTCTGTGACTTCTAAGCAAGCTATCTAAGTCTTCCACTCTGCATACACAGCTAAAGAACTTACCACCCGTCTACTAGCACATGGTAGCTACTAGTTACTACATAGCTGACTTCATTCTCTGTTATGGTTTGGGAAATCCAACAATGCAGAATTTATACATTCTGTGATCTTATGAAATTGTTAATATCACTGAATATAAAGGATGTAGAACCTGCGCCACCCATGCTTTGCCAGAGCAGAGATAACGTGAAGTTGAAAACTCCTCGTCAGGCTATTACAACTAGGGCAAAAGGATGGCCAGTGCAAAACGACATGTGGGTACAGGAATAAAAGAGTAGAAGTATCCCCAAAATCCAACAAATAAGTTGAATTTAAAAAGGAGCAGAGCCTGGGATACTCAGGGGGATCACTCCAAGATAAAAGACAGACTAGGAAACCAGACAGACAGGCTCTCACAGCATCTTGTTTAAATGCAGAACTGGTCAAAGAGAAAACAAATGAGAAAACTCTGTCTGCAGGGAAAATACTCGAGAAGAAAAGTCACAGCCAGGCACCTTTCTGCAGAATTCTGACTCAAGTTTCAAGGATGCTCAGAAATGATGAGGAAACTGAGATAAAGAAATAGGTACAGAGGCTTTTTTTTTTCTTCGCTCCTGTGTCTTAATCCGTGTATTTCTGTGCTAAGTAATAGCAGCTTGGCTTGGAACGCTCACAAAAGCTGCATCTTTGGGTCACAATTTGCTTCAAATGCCTTTTGAAAGATGAATCATACATCCAGATTCCCTTTGAGCCAATAATCAGGGTTTGGGGATGCCTAAACTACAAGATAGAGTAATCCTGAGGAGGCCTGTGGAGGTCTAATAAGGTTAAATCGTGAGCCTTCATTTCTAGGAGGGGACTGGATCATCCAAGAGGTGTGCCAGAGAGACCAGTAATGGTCCAGTGCCGCAGCCGATTCGATGTCTAAGATGCTTTCGACTAAAATGAGGCAGCCTGTAACGTGTCCAGCTATGAAATCTTTACCAAGCTGTGATACCCAGCAATAATATCTTTATCAAGTTGTAATACTATCTTTTTCGCTTTATAAAAGAGTTATCAGTATATTCAGAGACCAACTTATCCAGAAACTTTCTTTAATGATCCTGGAGAGGAAAGGGAAAAGAGTGGGAGGGAAATGAGACTCTCTCTCTCTATATATATGTATATATATTTGTCCTTCAAAGGAACAGGACCTCACTCTGAACCAGGAAAGCAGCTATAATTCTTTCCATGGACTTGTTATCTAATCAGAATACCAAGGGAAACTTTATGGCTTCTTCCCCTCTGTTTTATCTGCCATGTTTCATATAGAAGACATCCATAATATCACAGATTGTTTTTATTTCCTCCTACCACATTGCTGGCTCTTTCTCCCCTCTTGTCAAATACAGTTAGATTATACCCAACATCCAGTATGCCTGCTAAAAGCTTTCAGATATGGCTACATTTGGAAGAAAGTTGTAAAGTGTGGACAGAACAAGTCACCAATATTTTTATTCCTCTAAAGGGCTATTTGAAGATATGAGATTCTCCAGTAGACCATAATACTGGGAGAAATGTCAGCTGAAGTGTCCTACAAATAGCTTTGGTCATGGAGGTATGCTATCCAAATATGCCTCAAACAAAAGAAAAAGTATTTCTGCGGTCAATAAATAAATTCACTTTTCCTTCTTTTTCTTTACATTACCTACTTCATTCCCAGAGAACATCTTAAAGAATAAGGATTACAGCAAATTATTTTGTAGAAGATAATAGTATACTTCACACCACCTACATGTGATGAAGAATAGGGAAATAAAATTTTATGCTCTTACAGCACTTACATTTAAGGAAGAAATTGATTCTTATGTGTCCATTTCTGATCATAAATGCCCACTAACAGACTGAAATTTTGGATAACTAGCTCTCACATTGGAAGTTTCATAGTACAGGTTGAACATATCTTACCTGATTTTAAAATACGTTAGTCTATTCCGAGCTATCCATTTAGTCTTCCTCTGTGGTTAGTGGAGACACTTCCAGAAGACAATTCATCCCACCTACCTTAAATTGCTATCCTTGGATGGGAGGAGTCACTGCCTGAAGACGTACATCTTACTCTACTGAATACATAGGAAGTCTAGACTAGTTGTCGAGGAACTGGGAAAGGCAAATTCCACCATAAAGGACGCAACAAACTCTTTTGTAGATCCTACCCTCTAGAGCATCTGCTCACAAGCAAGCCACAGAAAATCACAGGTGTCTGAGAAAACCTCTCTTAGCTTTCTCATTAGACCAATTGCACTAATAAACATCATCTAACTAGACTACTTAGGCTTTTTAGAGCACTTAACGGTTTTCAGGAATCTGGTGACAGTGGTAATTTAGATTCTACCATAAACTCTAAAAGACAGGGAGTCTCTTGGGCTTTATTTGCACAGCACGTTGCACTGTGGGTCCTTGTTCAGGGTTAGGGTCTCCTTTTACTCCTTCGTCTTTCAGAGCTCCAGGTCTCAGAGGACCCACATAGCCCGGGTGCAGAACATGACACAGAAAACTTAAACATCAGCAACATAAGAAGTCTCACCATTTTTTCCTGTGACGAACAAAAGGCTCCACGTCCAAGTAGGGAATGCATTTCAGCTTCAGGAGGGAACTGTATAAGGATGCATTGAACGAGTCACCAACCATCTTGGCCACCATGACAGCTAGCATTATCAGTAGCAGCGATTGGACATCATTTGTGATCTCCACCTAAGGAGAAGAGAGAATAAAAGACTTTCTATTTTTTCATACACCTGGAGAGAATGACAAAGGTCGCACAGGACTACCTACTCCTTTCACAGAAGGGTAAAGGTTAGAGGGAACAGGAAGCAATTCAGTCATCCTTACCTTGCTAAAAGTAGAAGGGAGCGCCCCCTCCTTTCCCAGGGTTAGGTGATCAATCAATACTTCCACCAAAGTGCCTTGGCTGATGTAGTGACAGCTCCCCCTCCCGTTTCTATCAGATTTCAGCACTGCACTTACATTAAAATTCACATCTGATTCCTATATTTCAGGTGGCTTGTGATAATTTTGCAGTATCAGAAGAGAGTAAGTAGAGATGGAATAGCCAGATTGTTTTAAATAGCTTGGCACTGTGACAAATATTAAAAAATGCAAACAAATCCAAATATTTTTCTTTCTTGCTGAGCTCAGGAGATATAAAATTGTTTTCCCATACTACTGCTTCCTGACAGAACAAGCTCCTTGTACAAACATTGTCTTGAAGGATGCCAGAAAAGGGAACAAGAAGCTTTCAGCAGAAGTCCAGCTAAGGAGATCAGCCAGCAGGATCATCACACAGTTAACATACCGAACAACGTTCGGCAGTACAAGACACGGTAGAAACATCCCTTTCCCCATGAACATGAATCTACGACTGTTAAACTGCAAATCATGCGTACGCAGACTATGCTATCTTACTTAAAACAGCCTTACCTACATGTATTTGCTCTTTCTTCCTACATAGTCAGGGAACGGTCAGATGACTGGCAAAGTATTTAGCATGCTTTAATAATTTACCCCCTTTCAGCTATTAGTTCTCACCATCGCACTTGAGACACCATACTGCTAGTTCACTACAACACAAAGGTAAATTGAGTTCACTTAATTTACTACTGCAAATGTTAAACAGCTAGGGTGCAGGAACTTAAGAAAGCACACTGATACAATTGTCTTGGAGTAAAGGATTCAAAGTGAATCATCATACACAAATGAGAGAGTAATGTGAATACACTTAATACAGTTTATGCCCAGCTCACAATGAAGCCAAATATTTTTCTTGGTGAAAATGCACAGAAACATTCTTTTTAATACTACTTTTTTTTCCAGACTGCTAGCTCCACTTCCCATTATTTCCCCTACCACTGCATCCTATAAAAGGGGGATATACATTAGCAATTATCCTGGGATTAAATATGCAAACTTTCTTCCTAAAACTGAGAGGCTTTTGCTGAAAAACTTTTGTTTTTCCAATCTAGATAAACTGAATTACAGCACGATATTACCATTTAACAGACCTCATTAACTAGAGATTGTTAAGTACTCCAAGAATCCACGTCCAAAGAATACCAATAAACACATTTCTGCCTGATAAGCTGTAGCACATCATCTGGGGTTTATACTTCCACTCTAGCTCTGTCTCAGTTCTTTGTTCTGAACGATAACATCAAGGATGATTTAACGTATATCCCAATAAGGGACTCATAAGGAAGTTCAACCTTGTATGACAGGGTCATGCAACTGTCCTTTCTGCTTGGACTTAGTTAAGGATTTCTAATAACTCCATAGCATTCTTTGAATGTCTTTTTAAACCTAGTATTCGACTGTTTTATTTAAAACACCAACAACATGTCAGTTGAAAGGCAAACAGCAACTGTGGGATGTTAAGAATCGTTTCATCGTATCTGCCACAATTCATTCACACAGATGGAGGCTCCTTTATTGTGGATTCCTTTAAAGGTTATTTTTAAAGTATCTTGCTATGAGAACTCTTTTGGAATAAACCAAGCATAAAAAAATAATATAAAAACACTCTACAAGGCCAGAAAGAGACTCTAAAACTCTAACTTAAAAAACTCTTAAACTGAAACACTCTAAGATGATTGCTTAAACCCATATAGAAATAACCTCCTCCAGAACATAGCGAGATCTTGTTCATTCAGTTGTCTACATACCATCACTACTGTTCCAAAATTCAGCAGAAACCCTCTGGACATGAAAAAGAACTGATTAAAGACTTGAGAATTCAAGCCATATGCCTCTCTCTTCTTCCAGCTGCAGGAAGCTAAGTGTCCAGCAAATCAGACATCTGCCAAAACTGACAAAAGAATAGGCTATAGTGAAGGCCAGCCCAAGGAAAAGGCAAAAACAGGCAGACTACAGGAGGCAGCAAGCAGACATTACTGCCTACTTTGTGGAGAGCATGAGGGCATAAAAGCAGCTGGGGCGTGATGGGTGGCAGCACCGTCTGCTCATCTCAGACGCAGCAGCTGTGATCCTCCCCAGAACAGCAAGAACCAGAAGTCTGGCTTTCCAGGGCTCTCCCTTCTTGCTTTTCATCCCATTATCTCCCTTCCTCCTACCCACCCGTCCTCTAGCGGGAATAGCCAAGCTGGCCTAGCCTGGCCTGGCTGTCTCCTGCTTATTTATTTTCTCAAACATTCAGCAGTTTTACTTTTGCTGCAGAAAAACTCTGAGCCCTCTGTCGATTCTGCCACAGCTGCAGGGCTCCTGCGCGTTGTGATTTGAGGGAACGGTTCTTCTCTACAACGGAGCATTGAATATTTGCAAAGCAAACACTCAGAGCAAGCACTTTTGCGCTGAAGTGAAGTTCAGCACCGACCTTCACTTCCTCCAAGGGTTAATGCCTGCCGAGCAACAACGCTGCTTATCTTTGGCAAGCTAGTATGGCTGAGGTCATTAAAGACATGTTAAAAGCATTTCATGCAATACCTTTTACATATACATACATATATATGTATACACACATATACATACATACATGTGTGTGTGTGTGTGTAAGAAAATTGAAGCTTTGGCCAACATACAGCTTTCCCAAATTCTCAGCATAGAAGGGAACTAGAGACTCAACTTTTGTGATACGAAATGTTCTTGGAAACAGGCAATACTAAAGCAAAAACAAGACAAATCTGCAGATGACTTAGAAATCAGTGATACATTTGAAGCATGAATATGAAAAATAGATAAAATAATTTAAAATTTTTCAAGAAAATTTTGTGTGAAATTTAACCCATTATGTGGACATACAATACGGCGAAGGTATAGACTAATTATAGATCAAATTATCTGTGACACTCTAAAACAAAAGTTTCATGAAAAATGGACTTGATTCTACATACAAGTATTTGCAGAGCCAGAGAAAATATTATTTCCTACTTACTGGGGGTTTTCCAGTTGCAAGAGAATATTTATTAGCAAGAAAAGCATACCTAATACAGTAATTAACTCCAGTCAACTCTGATTCCAAATGCTGGGGAAGGGAATCACAACAAAGATAGATTCCCATACAAAAGGTGCAGTTACTCATATAGTGAGAGGGAAATATAGTGAGAGGGATGATCTTGCCGCTTTTAGCATAGAAGGGAAAAAAGGATTTCATCAAAACCAACCAAAAAACTGTAGCTAAAAATTAAACACATTAATGGCAAGGACGATAGCAATGCAGAAGCAAAGTTCTCCCTTGACTATCTTGATAAAAACGAAGAAAGCACAAATTACTCTGCAACAACTGTGATAGATTCAAGTGATCTTATATAACTGTATGTACACACACAAACACACGCATATATGTACACACACACGTGCACTTCATAATGCTTTACTAGTATTCCCTGTTTAGAGAAGGGCCATCTGCTCCCTGCCGAGCGAGACAGAGTGCAGAGCCTCAGGACTCGTCTACCCGAGGAAGCCAGTGCACGGTGAGCTCGCGTGTGAATTTACAGCATATTAGCTACTCCGCACTAACTGCCCGTTTGGGTACTCCTGGCGCATAGTGAGCAAAAAACAACATACTTCACTTTCCAAAAGGAGCCAGCTAACTCGCACAAAAACTCTCTCAAAGCTGACTCGCACAAAAGCACTTTTAGTAGGTACCAGAAGCATCCACCCAGGGAACAAGTGCCAAGTAACTAGCACATTGTAAATTCACGCTGGAGCTCCCTGTGTACTAATTCTCCCAGCAGACAGGTCCTTATAAGTCCAGAACTGCAGCCAAGCAAGCCCAGCCCCAGCCCAGCACCATTAGGAGCTCATGTGGTCCAGCGCTGGAAGACTTTACAGCCTCTCCTTTAAAAATACCTATACGTTCATGACAACGTCAAAAGAATTTAAGGAACAAGGTATATAGGGTATGACAGGGAGAGAGATAAAATAAAGGTGATACAAGCAAAGAAAGGTAAGGGGAAGTTGGGGGCAGGCACCGAACACCTACAATTCTTCAGTGATTAAACATGATGTTTCATTTATTGATATTCATCCCAAACCTGCATTTTAGGGGCTGCTCTTTAGGATGCAATTTAGTTTCTGTGTATATTGCCAAATTTTTCCCTTTTGATCTTATGGGTGCAGCAGGCCGTGCCAAAAACTTCTTTGCCTAGGGCACCAGTCTATCCAAAGCCAGCAGCGCCAATAGATGCTGGAAGCAGTCAGCGCTGACACTTCATACATCAGCAGCCGAGTAAATTTCATCCATTTTTTTCAATATTCTCCCTATATACAAAATACTGAAAAATATCTTTGACACACACACGCTTACACACACACAGAGACCACAACTAATTTATTAGCAGAGTTATTCAAACTTCTCTACATATCTGCTTTGTCGCCGGAGGCACTTTTCAACAACCCCCCACGGTCCTGAGTTTCTCATGCCTCCACATCATTATAAGCTATTAGCCACCTTCATGTTAGCTCTGTTTTATTATATAACACATAATTATGCATTTCATTAACAGCATCACCAGGCACGGTAGATCAAAGAGAGAAGGACAGCTGCCCAGGAAATTCAAAAAGATGCAGTTTACTTCAAGTTCACTGTTAAAAACCCTCCCCCACTTTTCAATCAAATTGTGGTTAACGTGTTTCAAAGGTTTTGCTCCGGCTTAGAGAACACAGTCCTAACAACCTCATTAGAGGCAAGGCTGCTGATACCGCGAATGTTCCCTGAACCACTGATATTTCCAACACTGTAAAGAAAAAGATCGGTGGCCAGCTACATGTGAAAATCAATTTTCTTCCTCCTAGTGAAAAAACACTTAGCAGTAGAGCTCTCTTGCTATTTACTGCCTTAAATGACAAATGCAGAAGAGAGAACCTACCCCCCAAAAAATAAAAATAAAAAAACCAGAATAAACAAATGAAAGACAAAACCTACTTCCCTCCCATGACATAAAGATCATCATCCCTGGTAGATGCCATTTCTCCAAAAGACACATTTTG